GCTTCTTCATCTTTCCAATTTGCTTCAAATGCTGAACCATAGAATGGTCAATGTTAAGTTCTTTGGCAACTTCTCCCATAGTTGGGAGAGAATCAGCTTTGATGATTGCTCTCAATTGGCTGTTGTCTACTTTCGATGGTCAGCCACTGCACTCCTCATCTTCAAGGTTCTCATCTCCTTTGCAAAACTTCTTGAACTACCTACTTTACTGTATGTGCATTAGCAGTTCCTGGGCCAAATGCTTTGTCTTTGTTTTCGTTTTTGTTTTGAGACAGAGTCTCACTTTGTTGCTCAGGCTAGAGTGAGTGCTGTGGCGTCAGCCTAGCTCACAACAACCTCAAACTCCTGGGCTCAAGTGATCCTACTGCCTCAGCCTCCCAAGTAGCTGGGACTACAGGCATGCGGCACCATGACCAGCTAATTTTTTGTATATATATTTTTAGTTGGTCAATTAGTTTCTTTCTATTTTTAGTAGAGGTGGGGTCTCATATTAGGTTATTAAGTATGAAATGTCTCATTCCCTTAAGTACTGAGTTTGATTAAGTAATTGATTGAGCTATCATTAAGTTGGAAAAAACTGTGTTGATGGTTTTTAGGTGCATACTTTATCGTACTGCTTCTTGTTTGAGATATAATAAACTACACTTTTGATTTGAAATCAGACATTTCATATTTAATGACCTAATATTAAATTACTAATATTTACAACCAGTCTATGAGGCGAATACTATTATTGCCCCACTTTTACCCAATAGGCATACACATTTATTCAGGATCAAGCAGTTAGGAAGCATGGGATCTAAGATCCAAATCTGTATGTTCTGGCTCCAGAGCCTGAAAGCTTAACTTTCCATCCAGGATGCGTTTATAATAATATTTGACATAAATTTCTATCTGCCACATTGTTATTTATGAGAGTTGTATACAATAACACAGGTGGCTAATAAGCTGGAAAGCTTTGTTCAAGCATTGCGTCTTATTGCTGACTGCGAATTCTCTGAGAATCATCAGAGAAGACCACGGAATGAGAGAAGAAAGGCTCTTGCTGCTGCTTTGCTTCTCACCCAGTGGTAAATCTCAGAAAACTTTGGGTGTTGGGTCACAGGTAAAATTTTGAGCCAAACCAGGTTCCAGTCAAAGAGTTTAATGTGCTCTGTGCATGATCTATCTGCTCTGTGGGCACAAGAAGTTGGGCCAAAGGTTTTTCTTAACATGGCATGTCTCTAAGAACATTTTTTAACTTAAGTGTTATGTATGGGCAGAGTGTTATGTATGTCCCCTTAAAATTCATATGTGGAGGTGCTAACCCCAAGTACCTCAGAATGTGACCTTATTTGGAAATAGGGTTGTTGCAGATGTAATTACCCAAGATGAGGTCATACTGAAGCAGGGTGAGCCCCAAATCCAATATGACTTTGTCCTTATAAAAAGGGAAAATTTGGACTCAGAGGCATACACACAGGGAGGATGCCGTGAGAAGATGAAGGCAGAGATTAGGATGGTGCAGCTATGAGCCAAAGAGTGCCAAATAATACCAGATAGCTACCAGAAGCTAGGTGATAGGAATGGGAGAGATTTTCCCTCATGGTGCTCAGAAGAAACCAACCCTGCTAACTCCTTGATCTCAGACTCCTGGCATACAGAACTGTGAGACAATAGATTTTAGTTGCTTAAGCCACTCAATTTGTAATAATTTGTTATTGCAATGCTAGCAAATGAATATAGGAAGTTTAGAAAACATTTTCTCTTTATCCACAGCTTCCTTTCAGCAGTTGGCCTATTGAAACAATGAAAATGGCAAGAAAATGGCAGGGGGTTTATAAAGAGCAAATCATGCTAAGAAAACTTGATGGCTTACTTTAATTGAATTATAATAAAATTAGTGTGAGAAGGAGATTTAATTTGGAAAAAAAATGAAAAAATCATTAACTGAACATGCTTATTAATCTGCAATCCTAAGCAAGCATTACTAGAAGATACCATGAAATGAAATGTAGGTTATACAGGATAAGTATCCTTAATTGGAAAAATCTGGCATACAAAGTGCTCCAAAATACAAAACTTTTTGAATATTGACATGATGCCACAGGTTACCCTGAGCACATTATTTTTTACTGCATTAATAATATGCCATATTTTTTTACTGTTAAGTATGTGTGAATAAGTGTAAGACAATGATTGCTTAGGGCAGCATATAAATTCAGAGTCAGAAATGTTGGTGATGCTAAACAAATGAAGATTGTTCCCATGGGTGGCTGAGTTTTCTTTCTGTTGGTTCAGTTTACCAAACTTTGTTTCATGCACAAAATTATTTAAAATATTGTATAAAATTATCTTCAGTCTATATGTATACGGTGTGTATAAAATATAAATGAAATTGGCATTTAGACTTGAGTTTCATCCCCAAGATATCTTATTATGTATATGCAAATATTCCAAAATCCAAAAAAATCTGAAATCAGAAACACTTCTGATTCCAAGCATTTTGGATAAGGGATACTCTTGTATCCCTTGTATCATGGTGATAAATTAATACTCATTCTTAGCATGAACTGAGAGTGTTAAATTGATTGTTATTTTGTCACATTGAATGTTATTTTGTCACATAATGATGTGTTACATTAGAGCCCTGTGCCCCCAGCAGGATTCTAGCAAGTCCATAATAAGGCAACCACATGCTTCTTTATATGATTTGACAGAAAGTATGGCAGATTGACATGAATTGGGGCAAGTATAATAAAGGGATGGATGAACTGTTTGGAGGAATGTAAAGTAGTAACTATCTGACATCTTCTGGTGTGCCTGGTAAAGGAGCATACTGCTATTTGGAATCCATGCAGAAGATTTGCTGCCTTAGCATTGATTTGAAAATAGAAGCTTTAAAAGGTTTTTACTAACATACCTGTTTAGGTATGCTTTGTGTGGCCAGTGTTATCAACCATAAGAAACAGTTTTAAAAAGACTGCACGAGAGTTGTCTGATACTGAAAATAAATAATCTCAGAGGAGAAGGACCTAGCATAATCCAGGGTTATTTGATTCTACACAGTATAATTAATGATGAACTAGAACATGTTGAATATGGATAATAATGACAATAATACTTAACTCATAAACTATGCTTTCTAATGCTAAGTTCTATCCTAAGTAATTTACATGTGTAGGCTTATTTAATGTTCACAACAACCCTATAAGGTAAGTGCCATGAATAATCTTCTTTATAAATGACATAACTGAGGTAAAGAGAATATAAATAACTTACCTGAGGTCATACAAGTGGTAAATGATAGAGGCAAGGTCTGAACTCAAGCAATCTGGCTCCCAGTTTTCAACCACTGTGTAATGCTATTTCTTTAAAATGGAAGAAACTTTTTGTCTATGAAACATATATTTTTGGTATCATTTTCCTATAAGAACTTCCTTGTTTATGAAAAATGCAGTTGATATCATTTTCCTGAAAGAGACATGGGAGATTTATACTTTATTTTTAGTGTTTAAACCCAGTCAGTACGCTTAGAAAACAATTTCCTTAAAAAGAATAAACTGAATGATTATCTTTATTTAAAGTTTTACTCATTATACATACATGTTGTGAAATGATTATTTAGGACCTATGTAAGTCATACATAGCTCCACTATTGAAAAGCCTGCATACTGGTTATGGAGACAGGAAAATAAATCATTATAATGTGGTGAATGACATTCTCAGAAATACATTCAAAGTGGCACAGGAACTAGGTCATGGCAGGGAGCAGAGCTTAGAGAGTTGTGACAAATAGATGTTAATGCGATGCCACACATTATTGCCATGCTAAACAGTTTGGATCTTAACTCCTTGTATGTGTAATGCCCCTGAAGATTTTCAGATGGGGCATTTTATGTATAAAGGTATATTTTAAAGATACAGCTATAATACAAAGGAATGAGGCTAAAATCCTGAGGAAAATAAAATGATGTCATTGAAATGGCCAAATCTTCCATATTCAGTAGTTCCCCCTTTATCCAAGGGGCATACATTCAAAGATCTCCAGTGGATGTCCAAAACCAGGAATAATACTGACTTCTATACACTTTTTTCCCCTATACATGCTTATGATAAAGTTTAATTTATAAATTAGGCACAGTAAGAAATTAACAACAGTAGCTAATAATAAAATAGAATAATTATAACCATATACTGTAATAAAAGTTATGTGAATGTGGTCTCTCTCTCTCAATATCGTATTGTACTGTACTCATCCTTCTTTTTCCTGTGATGCTGTGAGATGATAAAATACCTACATGATGAGATGAAGTGAGATGAATGACTGTGGCTGTAACTTTTTCAGTTTGAGGTGCAACAGCAAGACTAGCATGAATTTCTTTTTCCTTCTTCACAATTTCATAGAAGATTCATTCCTACTGTGGATCTTAGCAACCTCAGCATATGATTTTTTTCTTTCTTTAAGTCAAGAACTTTCACCTTTTCACATAGGAAAAACACTTTATGGCTTCTCTTTGGCACATCCAAATTGCCAGTATCACTACTCTTGCACTTTGAGGCCATTTTTAAGTAAAATAAAGGTTACTTGCACACAAGCACTGCAATACCATAATAGTAGATCTGATAACCAGGATGGCTAATAAGCGACTAACAGGCAGATCGTGTACACAGTGTGGATACGCAGGACAAAGGGATGACTCACGTCCCAGGGCAGGACGGAGAGGGCCCACGTGAGATTTCATCATACCATTCAAAACAGCATGCCAATTTAAAATTCATATACTGTTTGTTTCTTGAATTTTCCATTTAATATTTTCTAACTTCAGTTGACTTTGAGTAACTGAAACCTCAGAAAGCAAAACCGTGGATAAGGGGGACGATATAAATCATTTCTTCTTTTTTGTTGCTTGCAGCCAACAGTTTCTGTTTTGTTTGCCTTATAAATCAAGTTTCTCTTATTTTAACTGGTACAAAGTAAGATTTAAAAAAACCCTTTTTAGTTAGTGGGGTTTTTTTTTTTTTTTGTATTTTTTAGTTCCTTGTTGGCAGTAGTCTCTGCATACTGACACACCTTGTACAGGGAAAGTAACACATTTCTATCTCCAGGGGCCAGCTGGGGCAGGGAGGACAATGGAAGCTTCATTTTTGGTAGTTCCTGGACTATGCCCTATGCATGTCTTCCCTTGGCTTATTTTAATATAATAGCTTTTAGTGAGTTTTATGAGTCCTTCTAACAAATTATTGAAAGTGAAGGTGGTTTTAGGAACCTCCAATCTTGCAGTTTGTGTCAGAAGTGAGGTGGTCTCTTGTGAGCAATGTTCCCTCTAATTTCTTGTTTGACCTAAACTCTCGTAGAAGGGAAATCTCTTCTCTTTTTTCTTCTCCTTCAAAAAGAAGGTGCTTTGGGTGTCAGTTCTACTTCCTTGTGAGTGTAGGGTGCGGAGAAAGATTAAGTAGCATTCTGGCTGCCCAGTGGTGCAGATCTTACTCCGTGAGGACGTTTCTCATTGTTGGTGAAGAAAAAGTGTCTGGACCGCCTCAGTGTGTTGAAAGTAATGGCTTAACACACCCATTTATCGAATCAGATGGCAAACTGTAGAAGGCAAATGCAGAAATAATGTTATTATAATCTGTTCGTGCTGAACAATGCTGAAGACTGGGGGGTATGGGAGAATAGGAGAATAAAATACATGAGATCTGAAGTTTAAAGAGCCTGCCTGCATCTTGAGTGAACATTTGTTGAAGTCATTGTAATGGTTTTAAGACTAAACTATGCTAAAGAACGTTTAGCAACTGGAGATTTAGTTATGTAACTTAACTAAAGGCTATTTTTTCCATTTTGACAGAAAGTATGATATGTTTTGTTCTGTTGCAAATTCTAGTGACCCCTGCTTGGCTTTCATTTATCACAAGTAATCTTCTTCGGGATACTGCAATTGCTGCAATGTTGAGATGCTTATATTACATCAACCTTGGAGAAGGGTCAAAATAAATCTGTGAATTAAGCAACAATATATTGCAGCTGGCTGAAAAGCATGTCAGCAATACCTGAAGAGAAAAATAAAATTTTTTTTTCCCTACAACCTGTGTACAAGTTGATGTGGCTCCTTTTCTATCTGCTGCCTAGAGTTTAGTAAAGAAATACTGTTCTTCATTTTAGTCCTAATGTGGGTATACAGAATGGAAAAAGCACATTATTGCAGCCCTTAGTTTGCTCATATATACAAAGGAGGGACTACTCAGATAAGTCATCAGCTGCAATAATATCCACATATGCAGAAACAAAAACATATAATGAAAAGCTCAAATACCTTGGCTATGTAAATGTTTGGCTGGCAGTGGGTTAGAGAAGATCTTGAACATCGGGTAAGCTCAATGGCAACTTCATTGTTAATTTAGAGAATTATGGATAAATGCTGATAGCACCTATAGAGAAAATCATGTTGCCAAAAGATACAAGGAAAGGATTGAGCAATTCACAATTGCAAAGAGGTGGAAACAACCCAAGTGCCCATCAATACACGAGTGAATTAATAAAATGTGGTATATGTATACCATGGAGTACTATTGAGTTATAAGAAACAATGGTGATATAGCACCTTTTGTATTTTCCTGGATAGAGCTGGAACCCATTCTACTAAGTGAAGTATCCCAAGAATGGAAAAATAAGCACCACATGTACTCATCAGCAAATTGGTTTCACTGATCAACACCTAAGTGGACATATAGGAATAACATTTATCGGGCATCAGGCAGATGGGAGGGAGGAGGAAGGGATGGACACGCTTGAAGCTCTGACTCCAGTGGGAAAGAAGGGGGAAGGCAACACGTGTAACCTAAACATTTGTACCCCCCTAATATGCTGAAATAAAAAAAAAATAAAAATAAAAAAGATGGAAACTAAAATTAAAAGGAACCAAATCAGAGGACTTAGGTTGGAAGAAATGGATGGAAATACAAATTAAGAATAAATGTACTAAGGTAAGAAATATAAAAGTTGATATATTTGTCATAACTTGAAAAATTTAATTCAGTCTCCTTTTTAAGTTTTTCTTTCTCCTTTAGATAGTCTCACTTTATGACTATGACACACTTAAAGAAGGGAAAAGGTATTTTCTATGAGTGTCACTTGAAAAATGTTTTCATGAAAAACTCTAACTAAAATTTTATAGACTACATTAGGGCTAATACTGTACTTTAGGGTGAAGTATACTTTTTCATAGCCAATTAACAAGAAAAGTTACTTATGTAACAAGAAAATTAAAGCTGAAAAAAACTAACAGTTTAATAAACAAAAAATTAGAGATGATATTTTACATGATTCTAAGTCATTTATGTACTGAAAAAGAATGAAAACTTTAGTGAAGTAGACAAAACAAACTAGAAATGGCCTGTTTAGTCATTGAGATGATGGTACTTGAACAAAGCGGAACTCTGCTATTCTTTTGAAGATGTTACATACTTATTCATTTATTCATCCTTCCATTCAATTTATTCATTAATTCAAGAAATCATTGTGCCAGGCACTTAGCTAAATCTTTTGATCACAAAGGTGAAATGCTCTTAATGGTTAAGAAATTTTCCTAAGGGTTAAGAGAAATGGTTAAAATCCTTTTGAAGATTTAAGCAATATTTTGTTTGGCATAAGCCAGTAATAAATATTTCATTGCCTTTTTAAATATTTTGAAGTCCTTCTAAAGTGCATGTGACCTTAAAATAATAATATTTTTCAGATAATAACATTTTTCAACCATTCTGGATAAATTGTATTTTACTACAAAGGAATAATAAAGATTAAATTCAAGGGAAAAAAAAGGCAACAATAACTAACCTTTCAAAAATTGTGGAAAGGTAGGCCCCATCATACCCAAAAGTCCATTGTTACAATATTTAAAAGTTTTCCTTTCTGTTTAAAAAGATATTGTAATATTTCCCTACCTTATTGTATAGAAATATATGCTATATTGACCCTCTTGAGTCCTGGAGGGACTTGAGTTCCTGTTCTAATTAGATTGGACAGAAAACAGGCTTCCAGCCAGCCATAGTCTTCTTTGTGGCTTTACACTGCATCATGGTCCCTCTGGCTTTAACTTCTCTCTATTGTAAAATATTGCCCATGAGAATCAGCTGGGGATCAATAGGCGAGACTTGATATTTTTTTTTTTTTTTTTTGAGACAGAGTCTCACTTTTGTTGCCCAGGCTAGAGTGAGTGCCATGGCGTCAGCCTAGCTCACAGCACTCCCGAGTAGCTGGGACTACAGGCAGGCGGCACCATGCCCGGCTAATTTTTTGTATATATACTTTTAGTTGGTCAATTAATTTCTTTCTATTTTTAGTAGAGACGGGGTCTTGCTCAGGCTGGTTTAGAACTCCCGACCTCAAGCAATCCTCCCGCCTCAGCCTCCCAGAGTGCTAGGATTACAGGCGTGAGCCACCGCGCCCAGCCGGAGACTTGATATTTTGATTCTCAACAGTCTTACGTTAATGACAGTCTTTTGGTATCTGATCATTGACAATGTGATTGTATATGTACCATTTACCTAGTTACACAAACATTTTTGCTAAGCAAAAGGAAATACATGAAATCCAATTTCAGATAATTAATGTGGCTACTTTTTCAGTTTTTTTATTTACTTTATCTGCATCTTTTTTTCTAACCAAAAAAAGAACTTTTCTCAGGGAAGCAGATTTCCTCTCATTGAAGATGTATAACCAGATTATGAATGACCATGGCAGGATTGTTATAAAGGAGATTGTAAATGAATGAATAGCAGAAAAAAAAAATGACCTTTCTTCAAGGCCTAAGGTTATGTGATTTCTAGATGGTGATTTTGAGGCCAGGACTGACTCTTAGCATCTCTATCTATATCTGGTTCCCAGCAAGGGACCTGAAACAAATTAAGCTTCAAATGTATGTGTTGAATGAGTGAATTAATAGGTTAATCAGAATTTTACTTAACTTGCTATTGATTGTTGTGCAGCTTGAAGTCAGAGACTGCAAAGTTTGGGCTTATAGGCATTTTATTTTTCTTTGGACCATTATGTCAGTGGTTTGGATCATTGTCTCATCACATATAGGAATGCAGGGCTCTGGCTGTCCTATCAGCTCAGCTGGGTTTTTCCCAGGGATAGATAGCTTAGTTTCACATCATAACACAAAACTTAATCGATAGTGTTATCTTTTGAGAAATCAACTTTTCATTCAAATAAAACATTCATTTCAACCAATCACTAACATAGGCACATTTTTAAGATATAAAAACTCAAGAGCAAAAAAATAAAAAATAAAAAACCTAAGGAAATATAAATATTTAGTTTCAAATTAAATGCCATTGCTGAATTTCAGAGGAAACTAATCACTACCTAATCCCACTTCTGTATCCTCCCAGGGATTAAGTAACCAATTTATTCCAAAATTTGTTTGGAGTTAATAATCTTCCCAGCTGCATTTATGGCTGCACAGTGCTTTGGGGCTACAGAGCAACTTGGGCATCAAAGCTTTTGTATCAGTCTTTGATCCTTCTCTTCAGGTTAGACCTTTTTCTGCCTGCTTGCAATTTCTCAAAGAGAAGGCATTAATAATTTGCCATCGGAAGAGTTCCAATTTCGTTGTCTTGTTTCTTTGTCTATTCTGCAACTTTTGTTTTTCCTCACGAGGAGAAACAGCCTGTTTTGACACCATGTGGTTGGCTTTAGCGACTTGGAGGAGGATTACAGAAGCGCTCCTGAGGCTGTCTCTAGTGTGACTCCCCAGTGCCGGCATTCTCACTCCACTTGACCTGTTTCTCTTGCCTAATTCCTAACCCGTTATACCTACCAGTTGTGAAGTTACTTCGCATTGAATTAAGACTCTATTTTAACAATTCTTTCAGGTTTACAGCAGTTGTCAAAGATAGTTTTAAAGCCAGAACATTTTTTTAAAAATGTCTGAGTTTCCTTTTGCCTATAAACATTTAAATAGAATATAAGTTTTAAAATGTAGATCTAATGGGTTACTAAACAACAATTCTGGATGATTCCTCCCCCATTGTAGGGCCTCAATGTGTATTTATTATTGAATAAATGAGAGTGTGTGAATCTCAGATTGGTTGCCTAATTTCTCTTTACCGATTTTGAGAGTGAGATTATTGGGTTAAAAGAAGAGAAGAATATTGCATCTATGGCTTATGCATATTCTTTTGTGTTCCTCCAAAGGTGATCTTAGTACTTAGGTGAAATTGTAATGGACATTTAAAAATGAGATCTTTTCTCACATTGGCTTATTTCAGACTAAAAATTGTTGGATGCAAATCTTCTTAGTATAAATTTGCCTTTGATGTCATTGTTTCATAGTCTAGATGTACCTCTTTCTCATTATGTCTTCTGGCACACTGGTATTAGGGAGACATTTTTATTTCCTGTGCTGGTTTGTCTGGGAATCCTGGTCAACTAGATGCCCCTGTACCACAGTCGCTCACAAATGCCTGCGTGCATCGAGTGTGCGTGTCCTCAGGCATAAGCTGTTGGAAAGCATTTCTGCCCTGGCCACCCGAGCAGCATGCATTATCTTCAGTTCTGCCCCTTTTGGAGGCCTCTCCTCGAAGAGGCATATG